GATGGAGTTTAATCCAGGCAAGTGTGAGGTGCTGCACTTTGGGAGATGAAATGTTAAGGAAAAGTATAGAGTTAATGGCAAGACCCTGAAAAGCATTGATATAGAGGAATATTGGGTTTCAAGTCTATAGCTCCCTGAAAGCAGCCACTCACGTAGACAGTGTGGTAAAGACGGCATCTAGCACAGTTCCCTTTATTGGTCAGGGAATCGAGTACAACAGTCAGGATGTCATGGGGCTGGTCAGGAGGGAGTAGTGTAAAAAGCATCATAACAATTGGGGAAATCATGTTCTCTGCAGCTGAGAGACAGCGTGTTGAAGGATGTGTCACCTGCATTCTACCAGAGTTACAGACAGGAGAGGTCACAAGAAACTTGTGGAAGGGGAAGGATGTGCTTGTTTTGGTCCACGTGCATACAGACATTGACGGGAAAAGGAAACAGTCTCACCGAGGAAGTATGACCAGCTGGAGCTAGAAAACAGAAGAACCTCTAAGGTAGTAAGCTTGAAGCCCACAAAGACCAGTATCCTGGTGAAAGGTATTTAGAATCATATAGTACACAAGAGGCCCTTCAGCCCATTGAGTCTAAACCACCCTCTGGGTGAAAAAAAAAAGTTTTCCTCAAATCCCTTCTAAACCTCCTGCCTTTCACTTTAAAATTATGCCCCCTTATAATTGATCTTTCAACTAAGGGGAACAGCTGCTTTCTATTCACTCTGTCCATGCCCCTCAATCTTATACACCCGTCAGGTCACCCCCAACTTTCCCTGCTCCAAAGAAAACAATCCAAGCTTATCCAGTGTCTCTTCATAACTAAAATGCTCCATCCCAGGGAACATCTGGTGAATCTCCTCTATACCCCCTCCAGTGCAAACACATCCTTCCTATGGTGCGGTGACCAGAACTGCACACGGTACTCCAGCTGTGGTCTAACCAATGTCTTGTACAGCTCCAACACAACCTCCCTGCTCTTATAATCTATGCTACGATATTAACCTGTCCTGCAGCCTTCAGGGGTCTGTGGACAAAAGCACAAGATCCCTGTACCCCTTAGATTCCTGGTGTCCTGCCATTCACTGAGTACTCCTGGTGTCTGGATATTTCTTCCAAAGTGCAGTACCTCACACTTGTCAGGATTAAATTCCATCTGTCACCCATCTGCCCATCTAACAAATTTGTTTATATTCTCCTAACACCTCCTTCCTCACTGTCAACCACCCAGCCAATCTTTGTATCATCCGCAAACTTACTTATCACACCCCCCTACATTCTCATCTATACTGTTATACATAATCATGAACAATAGGGAACCCAGCACAGTTCCCTGTGAAATGCCAGGGCACACCAGCCTCCAGTCACACAAACAGCCTTCTACCACCACCCTCTATCTCCTACCACTAAACCCATTTTGGATCCAACTTGTCAAGTCAACCTGTATCCCAAGTGCTTTTACCTTCTGTATCAGTTTCTCATGTGGGACCTTGTCAAATGCTTTGCTAAAATCCATAACAATTACAGCAGCTGCTCTATCCTCATCAAAACACCTGGTCACCTGCTCTAAAATTCAAGTTTGTTAGGCATGACTTCCCTCTGTCAAAGCCATGCTAACTATCCCTGATCAAACCTCATCTCTCCAAGTAGAGATTAATTCTCTCCTTCATAATTATTTCCAATAGCTTCCCTACCACTGATGGGAGACCCACTGGTCTGTAATTCCCTTTTTATGTCTACCACCCATCTTGTAAAGTGGAACCACATTGGCTGTCCTCCAGTTCTCTGGAACTGCTCCTGTGGTCAGGGCATCTATAACTTTCTCTCTTATCTTTCACAACAGCCTGAGATACAACTCATCCGGACCTGGGGATTTATCCACTTGAGTCTGCCAAAACTTCCAACACCACCTCACTCCATATATTAATCTGCTCAGGAATCTCAGTCCTGAATTCTGTGCCTACATCCTTCTCCAAACTGAAGACATCTGAAGTACTTGTTTAACATCCTGCCAGTGTCCTCCGGCTCCACACACAGATTGCCCCCTTGGTCCCTACTCTTTCCTTGGTTATCTTCTTTCCTTTGATATACTAACAGGATACCTTAGGATTCTGCCTAATATTGCTCACTAGTGTTTTAACATGTCCCTTCCTTGCTCTCCTAACAGCTTTGAGGTCCCCATTGTGCTTTCTATGCTCCACTTGGGCCTCTTGATTTTCTCCTTTTGTATCTGGTACAAGCCACTCCTTTTCTTGTTATCTACTCCCAAATGTTCCTAAGTATCCAGGATTCTCTGAACCTGTTGTTTCTATATTTCACCCTAAACAGAACATTTTGGGCCTGTACTCTTGTCAATCCCTGTGTGATAAGCAGACAGGTTCAATCACGGAATTTATACAGCCAAGGGAAAAGGCCAGGGAAGTGGGGACAAACATATGATGGGCTGAATGACCTTCTTCGTGCAGTAAGCATTCGCTGATATTGTTCTAAAAGGAGCAGTTAGCACAAAAGATGGTGAATATGAAGTTGCTGGTCCAAATCAAGCATGTTTCCCACTCACCTGCCCGTTCCACTTGACGCATTCTCTGCTGCAGTGGACACTTCAACTCGCGAATCAGAACCTGCTTCAATGCAGAAGCCATTTTTGTAACAAGCTCCACTTTCCTGATATCCACTTCAGCTAGTTTGGGGGGTGTACATGCTTTCAATGAAATTGCAGGAAGTTTAGCAATGCTCTGAAAACAAACACCAGCGTTAATCCTCAACATAGATCTCATCAGTAAATCAGCAGATAACTGACCACATGCTGAAAATAGGGACTGATCTCCAACATATGAAAAAAAAAGGCCATTCAGCCCATTCAATTTGATCCTGGCTCATCATCTACTTCAGCTACGGAATTGAGGGTTATGAAAACAGGCCAGGAAAGTGGACGTGAGGAATGCTGAATCAGCATTGATCGTAATGAATGGTAGAGCAGGCTCTCTTATTCAACACCATTTCCCCACAGTATGTCTGCATGCCTTGATGTTTACAATAGAGACAACTATTAAAGTCCTGTACTTCCTCAATGGCTGAGCCTTCATGGCCCTCAGACAGAAAATCCCAAAGGTTCAATGTCAGTGGAGAAATTCCTCACTTCAGTCTTAAATGGCCTATCACTTATCCTGAAACTATGATCCCATGATCTGGACTGCCAGCCAGAGAGAAACATCCTCTCACCTACCCTGTCAAGCCATGAAAGAAATTTGTATGCTTGAATTACCTTTCATTATTCCAAACTAGAGAATGTAGGTCCAGGCTAGGTAATTTTTCCTAATAGGACAATTCTCCATCCAAGGAATTAGTTCAAACAATTTGCAGTTTGTCATTGAATGCCAAACATTTTGTTGAGGCAGTTCATAGTAGAGGTGAACTTGCAGGTGGCGGTGTTCCTGTATATCTGCTGCCCTTGTCCTTCTAGAGGGAAGCGGTCATAGGTTTGGAAGAAGCTGTCTAAGGAGCCTTGGTGGTTTCTGCATTCCATCTTGTTGCTGGCCCAAACAGCTGCTACTGAACATCTTAGTGGTGGAAGGAGTGCCAATAATATCAAGTGGCTGCTCTGTTCAAACTTGGGTGTTGTCGGAGCTGCACCCATCCAGGCAAGTGGGGAGTATTCCATCACACTCCTGACTTGTGCCTTGTAGATGGTGGACAGGCTTGGGAGTCAGGAGGTGAGTTACTCGCTGCAGGATTCCCAGCCTCTGATCTGCTCTTGCAACCACTGTATTTATATGGCTAGTCCATTTCAGTTTCTGGTCAACGATAATCCCAAAGATTTGTTACTGGGGGATTCAATGAGGGTAACGCCATTGAATATCAAGTGGTGATGATTAGATTGTCTCTTATGGAAGATGATTATTGCCTGGCATTTGTCTGACAAATGTCACTTGCCACTTCTCAGCCCAAGCCTGGATATTGTCCAGGTCTTGCTGCATTTGGACATGTACTGCTCCAGTATCTGAGGAGTTGTGAATGGTGCTGAACATTGCACAATGATCAACAAATATCCCTACTTCTAACCTTATGACTGAGGAAGGTCATTGACGAAGCAGCTGAAGGTGGGTGGACCTAGGACACTATTCTGCAGAGATGTCCTGGAGCTGAGATGACCCACCCCCAACAATTACAACTATCATCCTGTGTGCCAGATATGACTCCAGCCAGCAGAGAGTTTGCCCCGATTCTCATTTTTTCCAGTTTTTTTTTAGGGCTCCTTGATGCCATACTAAGTCAAATGCAGTCCTGTTGTCAAGGGCTGTCACTCTCACCTCACCATGAATTCCTACATCATCACAACTGCTTAAAAACACTTCCTCATCCAGCATGTATGTCAGGAAACAGATACTTAAAAAACTGGAAAAAGACTATCATAAAGAAAGTCAAACCTTCCAGAAGTGCATGCTACCAGTGTGGGATAGCAGTGAGTCAAGCTGCTCTTTGTACTCTTTCAGTTTATCAAGCTGGGTGTTGACCTGATCAAGTGCATCAGCAACCTGGCTCGCTGCTTTGCTCTCCTCTTCCTCAATCAGTTTAGCAGCAATCTTCTCCTCTTCCTCAATTAGAGTTTTTATCTCATTGAATTCAATGGAAAGTGACGATTTCTGCTTCACGGTGGAATCCTAATAAAGAAGATCGATGGTTCAGGGTTTCATGCAATGCTTTACTTGGCATAGGTAGGGTGGCAGGGCAAGTGATGGAAATGTCAGTGGGTGAACACTTTAGCACAAATGACCATAATTCCATTAGTTTTAAAACAGCTACGGAAAAGGATAGGTCTGGTCCCAAGTTAAAGTGTAAACTGGGGCAAGGCCAATTTTGATGGTCTTAGACAGGAACTTTCAAAAGTTGATTGGGGGGATGCTGTTTGCAGGCAAAGGGAAATCTGGCTTGTGGGAGGCTTTCAAAAGTGAGTTAGAGGGTTGAGGACCAGCATGTGACTGTTAGAGTGAAGGGCTAGGCTGGCAGGAGTAGGGAACCCTGGATGACTAAAATTATTGCGGCCTGGTCTTGAAAAAGGAGACATATGACACATATAACACATATAGGCAGCTGATATCAACTGAATTCCTCGAGTATAGAGGGTGTTGGAGTACACTTGACGGAAATCAGGAGGGCTAAAAGGGTACACTGTGTGGCTTTGGCAGATAAGGTAAAAGAGAATCCAAAGAGATGCTACACATACATGAAAGGCAAAAGAGTAACTAGGGAGAGTAGGGTCTCAAAGATCAACAAGATCACCTATGTGTGGAGCCACAAGAAATAGGCGAGATCCTAAATCAATATTACTTGTCAGTATATACCATCAAGATAGATAGATCCTGCATCCACTATTATCCATCATTTATAAAAAAGATTTGGATGAGAGTTTAGGAGATATGGTTAGTATGTTTCTGGATGACACCAAGATCGGTGATATAGTGGACAGTGAAGGTTATCTATGTATGCAGCGAGATGCTAGATAGTATTTATGATTATTTGGAAAAGCATAGATTGATTAGAAATAGTCAGCATGGCTTTGAGAGGGGTAGGTAATGCCTCCCAAGCCTTACTGAATTCTTTGAGGATGTGACAAACACATTGATGAAGGCAGAGCAGTGGATGTTGTGTATATGGATTTTAACAAGGCATTTGATAAGGTTTAAGATGAGAGGGGAGTGATACAAAAGAGTCTAGAGGGGCAACTTTTTCCATAGAGAGGGTGGCAAGTGTCTGGAAAAGGCTGTCCAAGGTCATGGTGGAAGCAAATACAATTTTGTCATTAGTGAAACATTTAGACAGGTACATAGCTGGGATAGTTATGGAGGGTATGGACCAAACACAAGCAAATGGGACTGGTTTAAATTGTGAAATCTGGGCAGCATGGACAAGTTGGACTAAAGGGCTTGTTTCTATGCTGTAGACCTCTACCATTAAGAGCACAGGACTGCCTGAAGGTGTCTCTCATCCACTAGCCCAAACGAGCAACTGCAAACATACAAAATCACCCGCCCTCAGCCAGCAATTCACGTCAAATTCCATCATACCACATCCAACGTCAGCCAGCAATTCACAGGCAATACCTTCCACCTCAGCCAGGAAATCGTTCCCAAATGGCTGCACCCCCACCAAGTCAGGAATTCACACACAATACAAATCCCAACACCACTTCAATGTCTACACCCCAAATCCCCATCCACTCAGGAATTCACATCCAAAACTACCCCCTCAGCCTAGAATTCATTAATATCCAACTGCAAAGGATCAACAAAATGCTGGGACCTGTCCTGGGCAACAATCAGAGCCTTGACACTCACCGTCAACAACCCCCCCCGAAGCCCCCCCCCCCCCCCCGTGCCCGACACTCACTGTCAACACCCCACCCCCGCCGCGGCTCCCCCGTGCCTGACACTCAGCCTCCCCCACTCAACACACCCCATCCTATCCCCAAACTTCAATGTAACCCCACCACACTTCGAACACCGACTCTCAACATACACCAACCCAATCCGGACAGAGACCCTCAATGGCCCCCCACCCCAGGATTTTAAGAGCCGGTTGCCGATCACATACCGTGAGGTGTTGTTTCTTATACCGCACCAGCTCCAGGTGATGCTGTAATTGGATGATTTGATATTGCACATTCTGCCGTTGGGAGTTCAGGTTTGCCTGTGGAAGAATTCATTCTAATGAATACCAAGCTATTAGTGGATCATTTCAAACTTTCTGCAACACTAGCACCACAATCTCAGCACACGTCGTGCCTAAGGAAGCCACTCAAGGCAGGGATGGAGCCCTGGAAGACAATGCTCAGAGCTTCTCTGGGTCACCAGGACAATATAGGAGCTTAAAAGGTTTAAATGAAGAGATGTCACAGATAGGGCTAGTATTCCCTGAAAGTACAGAACTAGTCAGAAGCTCAGGTGCATGGAAAAGTGACAAATAGAAACCAGTTGAGGGGTGTGAGATAATGCAATTAGGAGAAGATAAACAAGTCAAAGGTTTAGCCAGGAACAACGATAATGATGGGTGTTCAGGAACAAAAGGAGCTGGGTGCACATGTCCACATATTTCTGGATGCAGTGAGACAGGACTGGAGGCAGTGTGACAGGAAGATAAAATGGTTTAGCATAACATAGGCCACAATGAATTACATCCCTCATCACTGCATCACAGAAAGCGATCACATTGGAGGTCATGAAACAGTTCAAAGAAATTGCAAAGAATAGGACAAACCGGACTATGAAAGGTAGCCCAGAAGATGAGTTCTGTACATCTCAGCTTCAGATCAACGTCTTAAACTCAGTTAACTGTTTCTCTCTCCACATAAGCCGAGGTTCTTCAGCACTTTGTTTATTTTAATAATTTTAATTTATTTTAGTATTCCAAGCTCTTCTCAATAAACAAGAATATTCCATTTGTCTTGCAAGTGAGGATGGTGAGTTGCTTTGATAGGAACTTAGGAATGTGTTCCATTTATCTGCTGCTCTTGTCCTTCGAGATGGCAAGAGGTCATGGGTTTAGAATGTACTGTCCAAAAAGCCCGAGTGAGTTGCCCCAAAACTGTGAACCACAGAACTACGAACCATGAGTTGGGATCGGTCACAGTTACTGACATGGTGGGCAGAATAGCCTGCTTTGTGCTGCTACTTCCTTTTTTTACTCAGTGGCAACATATCAAGGGCATTTTAAGATGATTAAAGGAGTTGCTAATGCTGGTTGCCTCAGGTATAGAGATGAGAACATGGGGACGCAATCTTAACCTTGGAGCTAGCCCTGGGACATTTGGAAACAGTGGATCAGACAGAAGAGATTGGAATCTGCAATTTGACAAAAACCTGTCAAAGTCTGGGGTCAACTGAAATGGATAGATCTGTGTCAGCAAAGAGCATTAACAAGATAGGTAGGTAAATGGATTAAACCAGAAATTGTTGGCAAAGTCTGGTAGCATCTGTGAAACAGAGTTAATGGTTCAAATCCACTGACCCCACTCCAGATTGATATACAAATTAGCTATGATCTTACAAAATGACAGTATAGATTTGATGGACTGAACAGCCGTCTCCTG